GTTCAGACAAGAGTAGTCCAAGAACTGGCGGTGGGTACTGTTGACTAACTAACTGCCTTCCCTTTAGTCTAATACTTGAAAATTAGATACGGCTATGAGCAAGTAACCTCATGTAGCTTTTCGCAAAATTCGGAATCATAAGTTACAAAAAAATCTTAAGAAAATGTACACCAGGCGGCCATCAGAAAAAGAATTCTGATGTTTGGTACTGGTTCATGAGTTTAGAACAGGCTCTACCGTGAAGTCGGTACTGGTTTATGAGTTTAGAACAGGCTGTATTGTGAAGTCGGTACTGGTTCATGAATTCAGAACAGGCTGTACCGTGAAGTTGGTACTGGTTCATGAGTTCAGAACAAGCTGTACCATGAAGTCTGTACTGGTTCATGAGTTCAGAACAAGCTGTACCGTGAAGTCTGTACTGGTTCATGAGTTCAGAACAAGCTGTACCGTGAAGTCGGTACTGGTTCATGAGTTCAGAACAAGCTGTACCGTGAAGTCGGTACTGGTTCATGAGTTCAGAACAAGCTGTACCGTGAAGTCGGTACTGGTTCATGAGTTCAGAACAAGCTGTACCGTGAAGCCGGTACTGGTTCATGAGTTCAGAACAAGCTGTACCGTGAAGTCGGTACTGGTTCATGAGTTCAGAACAAGTTGTACCGTGTGATTTTTCACTCTTAAGTTTTTTCGATTGTGTTGTTGTTGGAATAAGACACGAATATTGTTGTACAAACAAATGTGATAGATTTCGTATAAATGTAAGCACGTGACAAACATTGCGAGTGAAGAATTTGGGGGGGACTGTTTGGTTTATTGTTTGCGACAGATGGCGACAGAATATAGAACATGTGTAACTCGGTAGATAATCTATTTCCGGTTTAGTTTCATATATCCTGGGTATCCGTTTCTAAGGCTTTATATCAGTTTATAAAATTGATTCACGTTTTGAAGTGGAAAACAAGATGGGTAGGAGAAATGACAAGTTAGCTGTTTTCAACATTCATCATGGGTAATACAGTATTCATACACTAGTGCACGCCTTACTGCTGACACTTGTTATTAACTTGAACGTGTGGTGTTACACCAACTTACAGATGTCAGTTATTAATTGTTATGAGTACGAAATATTTTGGGTTCAATAAGTTATTCTACTCTGTTCTTGTGACGCTTATTTTTCATCTTTGTGTCGATTAAGATGAGCATGAAATTTATCATATTTAGAAAAAAAAAATATATATAAGTAACATGTATTTTTCTTGATGAAATATTTTCATTTCAAAGTTGCACGTTATTTCGTTTAAAATATTGGCTCGGCGACAAGCTTGAAGGCTTTTAACTCCAAAATTCACTGTTCGATTCTTGTGGCGGGAGGGGGGGGGCTAGTGTGGCGCAGTGCTTAGCGTGCTAGAATGTGAATCTGCGGATCCATGGTTCGCGTCCCATTGTCGCAAGATCGCTCGCTCTCCTCACTTTGGAGGATTACGTATGTTATAAGAGTGACGGGCAAATCCCTCTTTTCGATTAGTGTAGCCTAAGAGTTTTCGGTGGGGTGACGTTGACAAGTTAACTGGCTTTCCTCTACAGTTCAAAATTAGGGATGGCTAACGCAAAAAAAAATAATGTGTAGCTTTGCTCAAATATCCCAAACAACGAACTTGGTGGTGGACACAACATAGATAGATTTTAGGCTTAACAATAACAAACATTATAATAAGTGTTGAAAGTTGATTAACTCGGTGTTGTTCACACACTTTCTGACGTCATAACTTTACATAAAAAAATCACTTGTGTAATATTACGCAACTTTATTAGGAAGAAACCCCTGGAGAATATGCTAATTACGTTTTATGTACATCTTATAGTTTTTACTAAAAAATACTCACTTGTTTATCTTGTTTTATTTATTCCTTATTTTAGGCCTTATCGGAATTTGGTATTAGTGTTACGACAAAAGCTGAATGTAGGTCATTAAATCTGGTGCTCAGACTTCCGTACACGAGAATCAAATTCAGCGATTGAAAGTATTTATTTATTGCTTATTTAAGTACCTGTTTATATTTATATCCCCTTTACTCTCTTCCTCTCTAGTGTCTGTTTTGTTTCGTGTCTTGCGACTTTTGTTGTATTGTTTGAATAAATACCTGAACACTTCGTACAATATCTTAATTAATCATGCATACAGATAGATATCCTAATACAAATGAGTATTTTGTGAGTGCTAGAAGAAATATCAATCTTAAAATAATAAAAGAAACACAAGAAGTCTGCTACAGAAGAAACCGTTTACGTTAAATAACAAGAAGTCTGCCTACAGAAGAAACCGTTTACGTTAAATAACAAGAAGTCTACCTACAGAAGAAACCGTTTACGTTAAATAACAAGAAGTCTACCTACAGAAGAAACCGTTTACGTTAAATAACAAGTCTACCTACAGAAGAAACCGTTTACGTTAAATAACAACAAGTCTACCTACAGAAGAAACCGTTTACGTTAAATAACAAGAAGTCTGCCTACAGAAGAAACCGTTTACGTTAAATAACAAGAAGTCTATCTACAGAAGAAACCGTTTACGTTAGATAAAGAAGTCTACCTACAGAAGAAACCGTTTACGTTAAATAACAAAAAGTCTACTCACAGAAGAAACCGTTTGTGTGTGCAGAAGAGTATTAAAATTGAGATTTCTCACCTATTACTTATAACTTAACTGTAAGGCATGTCGGAATCGAAGAACCCATAATGCATTACTGCGAGCCAAGTTTCATATATGATTACATCTGTATTTTTATGTTTGAGCTTCTATATATTTCTTTGATAATTTTAATGGATTGCAACTGCGTATAGAAACAAAAGGAGACAACGTTGTCTTCTTCTATACTAAGGCCTGTTTCAGTAGAAGGCCTCAGTATAGAAACCTAAACGTTGTCTCCTAATAAGGGCTGCTTCAGTAGAAGGCCTCAGTACAGAAACCTAAACGTCGTCTTCTGCTATAATAAGGCCTGTTTCAGTAGAAGGCCTCGGTATAGAAACCTAAACGTTGTCTCCTACTAAGGGCTGCTTCAGTAGAAGGCCTCGGTATAGAAACCTAAACGTTGTCTCCTACTAAGGGCTGCTTCAGTAGAAGGCTTCAGTATAGAAGCCGAAACGTTGTCTCCTACTAAGGCCTGTTTCAGTAGAAGGCCTCAGTATAGAAACCTAAACGTTGTCTTCTGCTATACTAAGGCCTGTTTCAGTAGAAGGCCTCGGTATAGAAACCTAAACGTTGTCTCCTACTAAGGCCTGCTTCAGTAGAAGGCTTCAGTAGAGAAGCCAAAACGTTGTCTTCTTTTCTTTCTACAGGCAGCTGCAGTCCATCATAATTCTAAAACCTGTCCTAAGGAATTTGGATTTTAACTGCTCAACTTTTTGGGAGAAAGACTCGTAAGGACTTTATCGAAGTCCAACACACTACCGAGCCAGACTCGTAAGGACTTTATCGAAGTCCAACACACTACCGAGCCAGACTCGTAAGGACTTTATCGAAGTCCAACACACAACCGAGCCAGACTCGTAAGGACTTTATCGAAGTCCAACACACAACCGAGCCAGACTCGTAAGGACTTTATCGAAGTCCAACACACACCGAGCCAGACTCGTAAGAACTTTATCGAAGTCCAACACACTACCGAGCCAGACTCGTAAAGACTTTATCGAAGTCCAACACACAACCGAGCCAGACTCGTAAGGACTTTATCGAAGTCCAACACACTACCGAGCCAGACTCGTAAAGACTTTATCGAAGTCCAACACACTACCGAGCCAGAAAGCTTTTTTCCGATTAACCGACTACGTTATTAATTTTACTGCTCTATATAATGCAGATATCAACTGACTATCCCTCTCTGGAGAATGATTTTTCCAATGCTTATCGTATTTGATCAGTTAAAGATACGAGTAATATTTTTACAGAAATGTAACATGTTAAATGATCGAAAGCCGTTTCTTTTTCTTTAATGTTTCCCTAATATGTGCATAAGACATAGCTTTATAGAACATACGTGTCAGTAGACATGTTGTGGCTAATAAACTTTAGGGAAACGGGTATTTCGGTAAATAAGATAAAAAAAATTAATTACAGCAAAATATCGAGAAATCTTAGCAGTGTGCATCTAATACAAACAATGGCTGAAGGTAGGAACTGAACACTAAACAAATCACGCATGTATATATATATATATATACGCTTCATTTGCATATCTAACCTTATGAAGACGAACGTGACTACCTTTTCGTTGATAAGGCTAAAAAAAAAGTACTTTCTGTTAGACACGTTTTTTCTCGAGAATCTAGGAAATACCCTCCGCGACAATGCATTTCCAAACGTTGGAGTTAAGATAACTTGTACATTAGATACACATTGGATATCTTGTGTGATATTATTTTTTCGTTCCAAACCAGTCTGTCAAGTTTTGAAATGATCTGTCTGGTGAGAACACACGTACAGATATGCGGGTCAGGTTTTGTATAAATAGTACAATTTACTGCCCGTGTTTCTGTGAGAAAACGTGTCCGATTGGAGAATATATCCGTTATTTATCTGTCAACTATGTCAAGATTAATTTAAGTTGTGTGTGTGTGTGTGTATTTTTCACGCGGTTTTTTACGGTGGTAAAACACATTTATATAATATTTTATGAAATTTGTGGGTGTTGCTATAACAGTTAACCTGAAACAATTTCGTATACTATATTAAAATATAGGCTTAGAAGTACTCTTTCTTTTATCAATTGCCATATATATATAGATAGATAGATATAGATATAAAGAGAGAGAGAGATAGTTCAAAATTAGAATGTATGAATATTTGGACATTTTTATAAGTGTTTTTTTTTTTACTCGAACTTATAAAGATAGCAACACAAGCTCATGCATATAAGTTCATTCATTATTTATATGTCGCGTGTTGTTTTTTTATTGTTGTTAATATTGCACGTGTTCATTCATGTCACTGTCCTTTATTTCTGAAGGCGCACCCGTTCTCTCAATGCTCCCAGTCCAAACTACCAGTTCGGACCTTGTGGAAGAATAATGAAAAATTCGGCCATGGTCATGTAAGTACATCTCTGTTGTTTCGTGCGTCATACATTGTTATTGTGTTAGTTCGTAGTCAAGGTGAATGAAGTATCTGACGTTGCTTTAAACCTTATGTATACGTCCCATGTTTGGCTTGTAAAGTTTATTTGAGATAAATGATCTTTTGGACAAGATTAAGTCATCCTGATTCAGATCGAAAAAAATAAAATCGGTGAAATATATAAAAGTATAATAAGTTTAAATAGAAAATTTCCACCTGAACAACACCTTATAAACACGTAGACTAAACCTTAAGGTTCAAGTATAGCATCCCTAATTTGAAAATTACTAACCAGAGGGAGGCACTGCCGAATAACCGGATTGACTATCACTCGTAACGTTCTCACAGCTGAAATGGCAGAGAGTGTTGAAGTGACATCTCGTCTCGAATCCTGGATTCTTCAATCCATAGCCTTACACGGCCCATGAATTACACGTGAAAAATAAATCAAAGTATACTTTATTATATGTAGTCAAACCGTTATTCCAAACAGAAATGTACCCGCCTTCTAATCGTTTCCTTTACGTCCTCGTTGGGTTTTTTTATACAGTAAAGTTTTAAAATTAAAACGTAAACCGAACCAAAGATAATCTTTTCTAGGCTTAATTATTTGACTGGGAAAATAAAAATAATTTTAGTTTATTAGAAGTTCCAGCTGTGTATGATTTGTATTGAATTATCTTCATTTGTAGCCCCCCTAAGTGAAGCACCCCAGGGGCTCAGGGTAAGTCTGTAGGCTTATAACCTTAAAAACCGGGTTTCGATACCCGTGACGAGCACAGCACAGATAACCCATGGTGTAGCTATTTGCTTAACAATACACAAACATGCAAATGAATATTAAGTGAAATGTCCATCTAATTTGTTAAGTGCCGACGAGACCTTTCGTCCAATACCAGGGCTCATCAGGCCGGTGGTGATACGATGTCTAGGCTCTATTTATATCATCAATTGCATGAACAACAACTTAAATAATGCGAACTAGATTAAGTAAGTTAATTGTAATTATTATTAATTTTATTTAAGTCACAAATTAGTATTACGGTATGATTAAAACACGATATTATTATTATTAATACCAGTTAGCCACTTAAAACTCTTCCGTAAAATCAGTGGGGAAATGCCACAATAGTTCTAACGTTGATCTAACAACGTGACATGGTTTGCTCGAAAATATCAACTGGGCTTCTATAATCCACACACCAAGTCAGTGGGGAAATACCACAATAGTTCTAACGTTGATCTAACAACGTGACATGGTTTGCTCGAAAATATCAACTGGGCTTCTATAATCCACACACCAAGTTGGTGTTTCCGAGAACTACCCTGAAGTTGACCAATCCCCAATAGACCCATCCACCAAGTTTGGAGAAATTTACTGGGAAATAACCAGTGGGTTAAGCCTTCTAGTGGCTAATGTATTTTTAGGGGACCATCGATGGAATTGTGCGTATTTTATACAAGGAATTTTGACAATTTTGGTCATTAGTTTGTTGAAACAAGTGAAGTACCACTTTAGTGTGTCCACTTAATTTTTAAATAACAAGTCAAATTATTTTTCTGATATTTAAGTGACGTATAGCTCCCGTACTTTCGCTTTACTGTAGATTCACTGGAAGTATAGGGGGCGTAGTATTTCACTGGAGTATAGGGGACGTAGTGTGTATTAAAAACTGTGCGAATGTTTGCGCACTCTGCATATCGAGTGTGTAAAACATGATTTTTACAAAGGATTAATAAATAACACGTGATCTAGGAACCAGCTCTTGCATTATTCCGGCACTGACCACTGGACTCCAAATGACCCCACCCACCCCCATTGAGGTCGTGAGGATCACTATTAAAATATCCACAGGACCTCAAAAATCCATCGACCAAATTAGTGGACCTTGTACTAGGAAATAATATAGCTACCCCTCCCCACCCACCCCCAAACAAACCTATCCATCAAGTCGGGGTAGTTTGTTTGGACTCTTAAAAGTTTATCGATCTGTAAGCTGCCACGCTTTATTCGGGAAGAAGAAAACTCGACCTCTAAAAACTCACCTGTCGAGTTGCTGGATTGTGCTCAAGATTGTATGTACTATCGAACAACTGCTTCCTTCTCTAGCGTTTTTTTTTTCTCTTAATATTAACAATCCGGTAGGTGACTTTAACAGTTATTTTACAAATGAAATTAAGTGACCTAGTTATACAAATATTAGACGTTCTATAACCTTTATATATTTAGTTTTAATTTGTTTGTTTGAATTTCGCGAAAAGCTACATTAGAGCTATTCGCGTTTGCCGTCCCCAAATTTGAAATGATAGACTATATGTAAAGTAGCTAGTCAACAACACGCACCGCCAACTTCCAACTCTTGAACTGCTCTTTTCAGACCAGATAGCTGGTTTTGGCTGTCACTTTTATAATGCACTTGCTTTTGGTAACGGGACGCGAACCATGGAACCTCAGATCTACAAACAGGCACGCTAACCACTAAGAAATATAATTAATATATTATTTCGACTTAAATGAAAGATATCTTAACCAAGTACCACAATTGTATTTTTTGTATGAGGATGAGTCAGGTGACTGATATAAATATACACACTTGTATACTTTAATACGTTTACAACCAATACGCTATTAATAAGATTCACTTTTATCGTAAGATGTGTGTTCGTGAAATCTACGTCGTGTGAAAGAATGTCAGGGATTCGTTCCCGCGAAAACACGCCCAACTTTGGGATTTTAGATTAAGTGTGTGACCAAATCCAACTGTACGATCACAGAGGACAAGAGTAGCCCAAGAGTTGGCGAATGGTGATGTTGGTTAGCTGCCTTTCTTCTAGACCCCCCCCCCTTTAATGAAAAACTAGGGAAGATTGTGCGCAGAGAACCATTGTTTAGCCTTTGCGCGAGCGAGATTCTGAAACTATATTTATTTTTGTAATTTTTAAAATTAATAATCTACACTAATAAAATGTGTTTGTATCAGCGTACTAGAAATAATTGTTATTAGAAGGTATCGGGACGTATACGCAGGCGCAGACTGGCTTAACTGTCGCTAAGAACAGTACGTAGTTTTGTTATTGTTTTTATGGCAAACTTGTGGACCCCCCTTCTAGGTTTTTTTTTTTCCCGGGGTAAGATTTTAGCGTCCAGTCCGCCCCTGCGTATTTGACATGTATAATGATAATGGTTTGTACTTTGTTTTATAAATACTTAAACATTATGAGATTTTGTAATGAATATCTAAAACGGGAAATTCGCGCGCAGATGGTTTATGGTGCCATGTTAAAAAGTAGGAAGGGCGTGTGTGTGTTACATCATTTTTATTTTATTTTTTCAAGTAATCACACGAATATTTACGTGTAGAAAGTCAGCCCTAGCGGAAATGCACGAACTAGGCTATTTAAGTTTGGATAAATATTGATCACGGAACGTTTGTCATTGTTTGTAACATATTATAATTTTATTTGTGGGTTATTTATACATATAAGTGTGAGTGTTTGTCAGTCAGTTAATAAAACTTAAGAGAGAGAAAAATCACGCGTTCCTTTAAAATTCTTTAAAAAAAATCAAACTTTTTAAACTTTCCGTTCACTTGTTGTTGTTAAATTTCGCGCAAAGCTACACGAGGGCTATCTGCGCTACCCGTACCTAATTTAGCAGTGTAAGACTAGAGGGAAGGCAGCTAGTCATCACCACCCACCGCCAACTCTTGGGCTACTCTTGTACCAACGAATAGTAGGATTAACCGTCACATTATGACGCCTCCACTGCTGAAAGGGCGAGCATGTTTGGTATAACGGGAAATCGAACCCGCGACCCACAGATTGCGAGTCGAGTGCCCTAACCACCTGGCCATGCTGGTACCTTTTCGTTCAGAAAGACTTCTTCGGGCGAGATATAATATTTTAATATGTTTCAAAGATGAAAGAAATGTACATACTACTAATATGGTGAATATGCTGCTTTCAATCTCAAGAATCAATCATTCGCCGAAAAAAAGAAAAAACTATGTTTCAGCATGTCAAAGTTATGAAAGACCGAAATGAAATGTTATTTCGGTGTTTGTGTAAATTATATTTCTCAAATTAAGAAACGTAAAATCTCAAATAAAATAAAGAATGAATCAGAAAAGGGGGGGAGGGGTAGCTGCTTTCGGTATTTTTGTGAAACGTTTTAAACAAATCTGAAATACAAAACGGTGGATAAGAAACGACTACTTCTAATCAAACTACGAATTGTGCTACTGTAATTCGTGTTTACTGCACCAAGTTTCAAGATGGAGGCGACAGGCGCGGATCTTCTCGTGGAAATGAAAATGTATTGAATATCGGAGTGACAATTTTCATCAAGAAACCGTATTTTCTAAACA